CCGCAGGTGACCAAGCTGGTGAAGAACTACAGGTCGCACGCGGCCCTGCTGGCCCTGCCCTCCCGGCTCTTCTATCACAAGGAGCTCGAGGTCTGTGCCGACCCCAAGGTGGTGACCTCCTTGCTGGGCTGGGAGAAGCTCCCCAAGAAAGGCTTCCCCCTCGTCTTCCACGGCGTGCGGGTGAGTGTGTGGCCCCGATGTGAGGAGGAGGGGCTCAGCTCCGCGAGCACAGGGCCTGCGGCCCTCAGTGCTGGGGGCACAGCCGGGCGGGCGCAGCGCTCACCCCGAACCAGCTCCCACCGGGCTCCGGCTGCAGGGCCGGCCTGTGTGGCCCGTCGGAGTCCGGGCTGTGCCGGCCTCTGGTCTGTGGGAACCAGCTTTGGACTCGCTGTTTCCTCCTGCTGCTTTTCTGCTTCGTTCACTTCGGCTCTGCGGCCGCCCTGCCCCTCACTAGCCCCGTGGGGGGACCCAGTCCTCTCCTCGTCTGTACAGGGAGGCAGGGCCTGGGTGCAGCTCTGCTCCGCACGGCTCCTGCACCCCCTGGTCCTGGTGACTCCCCATTTTCTTCTCTATCGAGGCTCACGGAGACATGTTTTCCTCGACTTCCAAGGGGCTTGGAGCCCGTGGTCGCCTCTTTTTACGCCGAGTTGCGTTGGTTCTGATGAAGGCCAGGCCAGGGGCCCCGGCTTTTACAGATCTGTGGCCCAAAGGGACTGTTTTAGCAGATGTTCTAAGGACACACAAAAGCTCACCTTCTCTGCTGAGGACGTAAGGTTCACGTAGATTTTTTAAATTTACTTGTGGAGCTTGTCCGTCGGCTCCTCTGTGTCCTGACCTGGATCCTGTCTGCTCGGCTCCCCCTGGCTGGGCTGTGACTGCTGCCCGCGGCTTCCACACCAGATCCCCCCGGCGCCTGAGGCCTTGCCGCCTGTGCTCCCCGCTGCGCCGCGCCTGCAGTTTAGGTTGTGCCCTGTCCTGGTTGCCTTTCCGTCCCACCTGGTGAGACATCGACGCCCCTTCACGGGTTCATCCCTCCTTCCTCGCCTCAGGGCCGCTTCTGAGCAGCTGCGGGCCTCACGTTGCACCATGTCAGGGCCTGTTGTTAGTGCGGACTCGGCCCTCCGTCCCTCATCTGCTGCGCGGCTGGTGCCCGTTGGGGGGTGTTCCCTCCGAGGACAGCCCGCTCCTCTCGCTGCTGGTTACCGAGCTCCAGTCGCAGATCCAGGGGCCAGTCAAGTCCCTCAGCAAAAACTCCTGGAGTCAGTGCATTCTTTTTCTTTTTTTTTCCCAATATATTTTTATTGATTTCAGAGAGGAAGGAAGATGGAGAGATAAATATCAATGATGAGAGAATCATTGATTGGCTGCCTCCTGCACGTCCCCTACTGGAGATCAAGCCCGCAACCCAGGCATGTGCCCTTGACCAGAATCGAAAA